TACCGATGCCGGCAACCCTCCCCTTTCGTCTCAGAAGACCATTCAGGTGGATGTCGCAGATGTGAACGACAACCCTCCACGCTTTGAGCAGACCTCCTACACTGTGTATGTCATGGAGAACAATGCACCTGGAGCCTCGCTCTGCACCGTCAAAGCTCAGGACGCGGATGTCAATGAAAATGCTCGCATCACCTACACGGTCCTAAACGACAACAATCACGGGATCCCGGTCACCTCCTATGTGTCAGTTAAAGCAGACACAGGTGTTGCCTATGCCCTTCGCTCCTTTGACTACGAGTCATTACGTGAGTTTCACTTTCAGGTTAAAGCTCATGATGGGGGTATCCCACCACTCAGCCGTGTAGCCACTGTCTACATCTACATAATGGATCAAAACGACCATGCGCCCGAGATTGTGAGTCCTCCAGCCAATGGCACACGCTTAACAGAGACAGTTCAGAAAAATGCAGAGCCAGGAAGTTTGATCACAAAGGTAGTGGCCTATGATGCAGATGCAGGACAGAACGCATGGGTCATCTATCTGCTGGACCAGGCCAGCGATCTGGATCTCTTTAAAGTTCACGAACACACAGGAGAAATTCGTACCACGCGGCGCGTCCTTGAAGACAACTCCACCTCTTTCAGTCTAACTGTACTAGTAAGGGACCATGGCGAACCACCTCTGTCATCCACCGCTACAATCAACGTCGCTGTCATGGAGGTGCCACTAAAAGTCACGCCTGACCCCAAACGAATTATCCGCCCTCACAGCTCTCTCTTGTTTTCCAACGTGACATTGTACCTCATTGTAGCCTTGAGCGCCACCACCTTTGTGTTCTTGGTGACAGTGGTTGTGCTGGCTATCGTGCGCTGCCATGCCTATTGCACCCAGCCCGGGTCCTGTTCGCCCTGCTGCGTGTCCCAGAAGGCCCAAGCGGAAGGTGGCTCAGGAGGGGGAGGCGGAGGTGGTGGTGGTGGCTCTCAACCCAATAACAATGTGGTGCTTAGACGAGACCTCAAGGTTGAGCCTCATCATATTGAGGTCCGGGGTAATGGCTCTCTGACCAAAACCTATTGCTACAAGACCTGTCTGACTGCTACTTCGGGCAGCGACACGTTCATGTTCTACAACACGGGCCGACCCATCAGTGGCACCTGGGGCTCTGAGCGCTTTTTTACAGGAGGGAGCGGATTTGTTCGCAGGCTTAGTATGCCAGATGCAGCACTACAGGTGTGTCTCATTAGAAAGTATATATCTGTAAAAATACAAAAACTGGAAAAAAAACTATCACATTTACAGTAAAAAAAAAAAAAAAGATGCCAGTATTTGGGGTTTTACATTAATAACAGTAAATGTTAAATAAATAAATGCTAAAAATAATAATTATTTAAATAAAATCTAATCATAATGTGATGCATCACACATGCATTTCTGAGAATGTTTATTTAGTGATTTTTACAATAAATTTAGTCATTCTTTTTGAGTATTTTGTAGATTTAAACCACACATTTGGTAAATCATATTTTTCTTCCAAAAATGATTCATTTGACAATATTTAACCAGGAAATGCTGTATGTTAAACCACTTTTCACCATTTATTTACTATAGCATTTTTTTTATATATATAATTTTGGTTACACTTATGTTAAATTACTAAACATAAAACCGTAAAATGTTCTCATGCAGCACAAGTTCTGTCTAAATTTAAATAAAACTAGATATACTGGAAACCAGAATTGAGCTTTAGCTCAATATAATGCTACTCTGGTTTCCAGTGTGTTTTAGTGTAAAAGGTAATTTGGTCAGACCAAGAGTTGCAATAAAACTATGTGCCCACGTGTCAGAAGCTTTTGACCTTGTCATCTCCTGTTGTACTGTGCGGTTATCTAGTGCAGCTTTACAGTGCTTTGCTTCACCCTGCATTAGTGTCAAACATCAAGACTTTCTAGAGTAGTACATTGCATTTATGATGATTTAGGTATTTGCTCCCACATCTGAAGCTGTCATCACATTTTCAGGATTATTTCCTTCCACTCCCATGCCACTGTCTTTACTCCAAGATTTTATTTGAATTTGAACATTATTTTGTATACACTAAATTACACTGTTTTGGGTGCCACATAGATCATTTTGGGGAAAAAAGCTCCTCAAAATTAATGCAGGATAGGATAGATTTTAGTATATTGCCTGTGCAATGCATTTGCTGTCATAGATGCTCAATTTATGTGTTTTTGTCAGTGTAATTGGCGTGAATTCATGTTCACTCTGTCAGCTATGGATTCGTGAAATGTGTTTTAATTAGCCAGAACATGATCCAAAGGCTGTGCAGCCTTGATCTCTGGCTCACGGGAGGAGATGTTGCAGATGGTTTAAAAAAGACAAAAATAGTCTAAAAAAATAGTTTACAGTACAAATATAACTAGAGTTTGCAGAGATGCTCTTGACAGCCTCAGATGTGTTGTGAGAGGCACTGCAGCACATTCGACACTGCAGATGATTTAGGAGCAGAGGCCGTCTGTCCAAGATAAGAGAGCAGGCAATGAAATTAACCTCCAGCCTTTGATTCTCAAGCCCTGCAAATTACATTGTGAGAGCGAAGCAAAGTCTTTTTGCACGCACTCTCTCTCCTCTGAATTCACCTGATTAAAGAATGTTATTTACTCAAATTATCTGGGCCATTCTCTAATGCCTCATCCTATAGCATATTACCCAACCTATTTTTTTTTTTACTAGGACAAATATAAAAAGAGTGGCAACTTCGTGCTTGTGCTCTCCCTCTGTGCAAGGCCATTTAATTCATTCACTGTGAATTGCTGGAGGAACAGATGACCATCTTATGTTTGAGGCTTGCAAGGTGAATGGTCATCTTGTGACCAGTGCTCAGATTGAGTTGCTTTGGCTGAGACGGGCAGAAAATGCTCAAGTATCATATTACATGAGGTCAGCTGGAGAAGGATGCTGGGAGAACAGAAAGATGTTTAGGGACTTGATGTTAAGCAGAAAGGGTGAAGTCATTTAAAAATGTGTGGTAATGGCTACAGTGATGCACAGATATAAAAATTTTGACTGATACCAAATATGTATTTATGTTAGGGCTGGACAATAATTCAATATCAAAATGTATCGCGATATAATTTTTTTCAATAACGGTGATATGATTTTTAAACACATTTCCGATATTTCGATATACATTACCAGTTTCCCATACATTGATTTATTTGTGGCGTTTGACTTCGTTGAATAAACATGAGCACTGCACGTTTCAAAATCATAACACTTCACAGGTGTTTTATATGAACGTATCTCTGAAGGGAACCGACTGTCTTCAGAAAAGTTTAGATGGCATTTTTATCTGATAAAGTAGCGTTCTTGAGTGGAGCTGCTTTGTTTACAGCCATTACTGGAGAAACCGTTAGTTCCACCGCTCTCACAGACAAGCTGGCAGACGAGCAGTTTGCATTTTCAATAGTAAAATTATTTCAAAATGTTACTGTTTTTGCTGTATTTTGGATCAAATAAATGCAGGCTTGGTGAGCAGAAGAGAATTCTTAAAAAATTCTGAATTTTGAATTCTGTTCAAAAACTTTTGACTTGCATGTTAGCCTATAGTTTGGAGTAAAAAATATTAATATTAATAAGGAGAGTCTGAGATTTATTTGACAGTGATTTCACATTTCTAAATACCAATAAAGTCTAAATACCAATAAAAGGTGAACATTTATTTATTTGCGCCATTTTTTTCCTAAAATATTGTATCGTTTTATAGGAGTAGGTTTCATAGGTTTCATTCATTTCTTTCGTAGGTTTCAATACATTTTCATAAGTTTGTAGGTACAGACATCTGTTGTGGCCGTTCTTGGCCGGTTTTATGAGGCTTTTTTAATAGTGTTCATATCGATATCGGAATTATATCGTATCGACCGAAATTAAGAAATATATCGTGATATAAATTTTGGCCATATCGTCCAGCCCTAATTTATGTCAATGTTATGGCTGATAAGTGCTAAATGGCTGATATTAAAATTATGATTCTATAATAATTAAATAAAATCACCACAGTCAGTCATTTTAAAAGCTATGAGGTGAATTTAGTCATCACAGAATTACAATTGAAAATATAAAAAGCGCATATTCCATCAAGAATACATTTACAAATTCTTTAAGGATAATTTGAATAAGCACTAGATTATGGCAAAGATTATCTAAACTGTAAAATGATTTTTCAAGATTATTGGAATATATTTCACAAGAAAATACCATTTAAGTCTTTCTACCTCAAAATTTATTGTTTCATTCAATGTGTTCTTGCCATTTCTTTGAAACAATTTTCACTCAAAAATTGCTAGTAAATTTGACTAATTACTAATGAACTAATTACAAAGTAGGCTTTTTATGGTTTAAATGTAAAAACATACTGAAAAATGGTGTTGAAACAGTTTTCACTCAGAAATTTCACTAGTAAATTTCACAAATAATCTCAAAGAAATTGAAAGTAAGACTTTTTTTTGAAGTAGAAAGACTGAAAATCGTTTTCTTGTAAAGGTTTTTCTGCTCCAATAATGTTTATTTACAACTTCAAAAGTGTTGGTGGAATTGATCATATACATAATGAAATATCTAATATCTGCCAATGCCGATATATTAAAATCACTAATATCAGTCATTAACCATATGGTACCATATATTGTGCATCCCTTGTAATGTTGTGTATGTTATTAGGTGAATGTCAAGTGTCCTTCATGTGCTTTATTATGAAGAACACTCTCTCCACACATACAAGTTTTATACCAGTGAGTCATGGGCCATGGCATAGTGCCAATAACCGTCCCTGTAGTTCTGGTCTCCTTTAGCTGTGGTTCATATTAAAATGCAAGACAGAAACACACACACAGAACAGCATGATTTATTGATGAGAATGTATCTAACCCTTTTCTGTCCTTCCACCCCTTCTTTCCCTCTATCTCTCCTCATCTTTCTCTCTCTTTCTCTCCTTCTCCAGCCCAAAGGACCAAATGCTGACTGGCGTTACTCTGCTTCGTTGAGGGCAGGAGTGCAGAGGTAAGCACTTTTGCTGTTAATAATGTCCTGAAAGAGTTACAGTCCTCTCTGAACTGTTATGGAAAACATCTCTTCTCTGTTTGCTGTAGCTAAATAAAAATGTAAAGTTTAGTGCTTGTTCTGGTCTTGAGTTTGGTAGCTGAGTAAAAGTGCAAAAGCACTGTGAATCATGTCCATCTCTATTTTCCTCATTTCCTGATGGGTAATAATCAAATCCTGACCCTCAATGTCATTATGCAGGAAACAATCATGTTTGAACTTAATCAAATAGAAGGGAGAGCAGAAGCTAAACGCATCCTCTAAATATTATACATTACATAAAATGTTTCAAATGATTTAGAAAAAATATTACACTTTTAGAGTATGGTTCAGTTTGTAACATTAGATATTGCTTCAGGTACCATAAATTAACAATGAAAACCATTTAGAATTTAATAATCTAGGTTAATGATTTTTTCTTTTTTTATATAAATATTGTTCATTGATTAATGTATAATTGTAATATTTGTATTTTTTATAAAAAAAATAATATTTTGTTTTTATTTGTATTGTTATTTTTATTTTAGTATTATTAATGTACTACCATGATATTTATTCATATTTTGAATTGTCTTTTATATTTTCAGTTTTCATTAAATTTTTTTAAATAATTAATATAATATAATTTAATAATTAATAAGGTTTTAATAATTGTTATTTTAGTTTAAAATATGAATTAATATTTCTATTTAGCTTTATTATTATTATTATTATACTTAAATATGTGCAAGTACTTAAACATGATTTTGTTTCATTTAGTTGCCAAAGCATCATTTCTAATTTTTGTTTATGTTTTACAGTTTATGTTTTTCATCTAATATTTAAATTGAATTTTATTTCAGCTTTATTTCAATTAATGAAAACAATTTTAATAGTTTTAATTTTAGTTAACAGTAACAACACTGGTTTATACAACTTACTGAAACAGCATTGGTCATATTGTTCAGTTCATAAAGTCTGATGCACTACAAATGTATTTTTATGGTATTAACCCATTTTAACCTTACTCTGTCATCCAATATATTTCCCCTACATATTTCTTGATTACAAAGTTAATTTAGGAAGCAGTGCAAATCAGAAATATATCAGATTTAATTCCACAACCACATGAAATCATAGTATTATAGGCATACTAATTTGTCTCTGTATATATTTACTGTTGATCAATTTTAACAAAAGAGGGTGAAATAAGAAATTACAAGGAGCCAGTTAGTAAAACAGAAAGACTCAGTCAGTTCTTCTGTCTGCAGTATCTGTAATAGAGTCCCATCCAAACACCAGAAGCATGACCACCAGGAGCTCTCTGACTTCTTCCTGACCTCTTGTCTCTTTCCCTGTGGACCAACTGTGCTCTCTCTGTCTTCATCACGCACAAACACAAGCTTTGAAGCGTTTGCTAAGGGCCTTAACCTGGCATAGTGGTTCTGCAGTCTGATATTGAGTATGTAGGTCATCAGCATTCTCCACAGCAGATGCACAGTCCTTCACAAACAAGCATAAAGGACAAGCTAGCAGATGAGCTGATTGTGTGAGCTTACCCACAACCGATACGCAGGAAATTCAAATCTCGGGTGGGGGGGGGGGATTTTGATGCACAAATACTGACAAAATGAGTCATCTCTGAAATGCTAAATATTTATTCTCTAACTCTTTACACATGCACACACACTTACATCTGGAGACAACAAGGCCCCCTCCTCTAACCACCACAAACATAGAGTTTCCAAAGGGTGAATGACTGTCTGTTTTATGTGATAATGTTGTGCTATCCTGTGGGCTCATCTCCGGGGATGGTTTTGTGTGTGTGTGTGTGTGTGTGCATGTGTATGCGTGTTTTATGTGGTTTTCTGTGACTGAAGGCTGGTGCAAAAAGGGGCACAGGGGACATTATACACAGGTGACAAATTAGATGGAATTTCACTGAGCCACTTAGAGCACCACATAAACATAGTACAAATTTGCATACTAAAATAATTTACATTTAGATATGCACCAGTATTAAATTCAATATTAATTCTGTCAGATAAGATGATTGGCATGGCCGATAACCGATAAATTGCATATATTAAAATTATATTTGGTTTTGTCTAAATAAATAAAAAATAAAACACTAAAACTGAAATGTAATCATTTAAATGTTAATTTAGTGAAAGGTTAATTTAGACATCACAACATTATAATATACAGAATATTAATTTTGATATTTTTAAACATTTTGAGAGAATTTGCTACAGTGTTATTAAATTATTAGTGTTTTAAAGTGAGCATTAGATGAAGGTAAAAGTGATATTAATGTGATATGTAATTAAATAGAGAAAAAAGTGAGCATGCAAAATTTAATAGCCGGTATCGACTGATAGTTTTATTATCGTGCATTAAATTTGGATGAATTAAATTAATCAAAGTGACAGTAAACACATTTATCATTTTACAAAATATTTATATTTCAAATAAATGCGTTCTGTTGTTAAGCAGAAATGTTTCTTGGGCATCAAATCGCTATATCAGAATGATTTCTGAAGGATCATGTGACACTGAAGACTGGAGTAATGGCTAATGAAAATCCAGCTTTGCTATCACAAAAATAAAATACATTTTAAAATATATACAAATATAAAAGTTATTTTAAATTCTAATAATACTTTTTACAATATTAATTTTTTTTTCTGTATTTCTGATCAAATAAACGCAGCCTTGGTGGTGAGCATAAGAGACTTCTTTCAAAAACAAAAATCTTACCAACTCCAAAATTTTGACCGATAATGTATATTGCATATCCTTAATTAAATTGATTATTTGAATTTCAACAATTATGTGCAGTTTAATTTCAGTAGGGGATCTTTAAAGCTTTCTGTAAATTCAGTATATCACATTATTATTATTATTATTATTATTATTATTAAATCTTAGATTTACATTTTGTATTCATAACTTTTCATTGACCATCAATGAACCACAAATTAAGATGAATAATTCCTGAATTGCTCAACTCTCTGTCATACTTCCTCTTCATTTCGACTTACTCCAAACACCTCCAGTATACAAACCTCCTCTCCAGTGGCTTTAAATCCACACCCCTCAATCGACAAGCCTATCCTTAGGCAAGATAGTTACTGATTCACTCTGCCACAAGGCACGGGTGCATAAGGGAATTAGAAAGATCCATAATGTTAACACACACACACTGGATGAGAGTTATGGGAGCTGTAGCAGGCTGGGCACACCCTGTGCTGCATTGCAGATGCCCTGCTATACCCACTTCCTTTCTGCTCTTCATGTCTGTACATTTATAATGGATGTATAGGAGTGCTGTGGCAAAATTCACAGTCCTGCTCTTTATGTGGGTGCTTGTCTGATCGTGGTTTCCATGGTGATAAACACACCGATCCGAAAGCCAAAGGCCGTCGCTGGAAAGTGTATGTAGGAAATTAAATGTCCCTTTAACGTAATGCATTTTAATGCATACTCGCAGCTCTAGGGTGTAGCGTGGTATTTGTTGAAATTTTAAGTACATACTACATCTTCAACTGTCTACCACAAATTCCCAGGCTTATGTTATGCATGGCCTGCTGACAGTCCGAGAGAGAGAAATGGAGAGAGGAATGGAGGGAAGATAAAGATGGTAAAGGAACTGAACAATGTATTAGGGGAAATCAGATTATGAAATGGCCCTTTGCAAGAGTAGAGAGGCGCTGAAATGGTAATATAGTTAATATAAAAACCCTCGAAACAGGATATATTTATTTAAAATATGCCGTAAGATATTATGAGTAACCCATCTTTGATACAAAATATATTTTGTCTTTTGGCATATTTTTTCACTTGTTTTAGGCATCAACATAAAGAATTTAAAAACCTGCAAAAAAATATGCTACTGCAGTAAAGACTGTACACTGACATTACAGTTCAAAATTTGGGGGTCAGGATTTTTTCATTTTTTTATTTTATTTTTATGTATTTATTTATTTCTTATTATTTTTCAGCCTTGGTAAGCATAAGATACTTCTTTCAAAAACATAAAAAAATCTTAATGACCTCAAACTTTTGAATGGTATTTTATGTTCATGATACCAATCTTAACACCTCATCTAATGTCACTACTCGAGTAAAACAAGTAATCTTGTGGATGTTGAAAAATATCTAAAATGTACTTCAAAATATATCTTTTATATTTAATATATATTTTTAATATACGTACTTAAAAAAGTAAATTTTTTATCATCTTCCTGCCTTCTTTCCTGTATATATTTAGACACTCTATCATTGTGCTTTCCAGTCAACGTGTCTGAAGGAGTTAAAACATCATGACACCATCATGACAACTCGCATGCCGCACACATATCACCTCACGCACAGACACATTAGATCACATATAGTCTAGCACACTCTTGTTACATGTACCTTCACCATCACGCGCACCTTCAGACCAAAACTTAAATAAATACATGCAAACACAGCAGCTCTTGACACATAACACAACTGTCCCCCTCAACTGCCACTGCCCAGAAGTGAAGCTGTATTTTAATGTTTATTATTTTTCGAATCAGTTTTACTGAATATTTTCTCTGTGTATTTTTAATAATACTAAAAAAAAAAACTGGATTTGTGATATTTCAAGACTAATGACATGCTAATTGTTTTCTTTTTAGTTCTGTGCATATGGAGGAGGCATCAGCTGTGATGCAGGGAGCGCAAGGCATGCTGGTCCAGAACTGGCCCACAGTCTCCAGTGCAGCAGGTGAGGTCACACCTTAAAGACGTCGGCAGTGTAATTACATTTTAATCATCCGAAACCAATGACTCCATCATCTTCTCGCAAAACTTCATGCTCTTGCTAATCTAGTAATTTTCTCTCTTGCAAATTATCATGTTCATAAACCTATTACATCTGTTTTAATTAAAATGCCTAATACATATGGTGATTCTGGATTTCTCGTAATGAATCTTAGGAAGAAATCAAGACCGACTGAAACCTTTTGACCCAAATTGAAGCTGATTCAAAGTGACATGAATTCGTGCATGTTTAAAACAACCTGTTTAAAGCAGGTTAGGTTTATTCATCCAAAAATGTCGGCTCTTCCTCTCTCTCTGGCCTCTTCTTGCTCTTTTACAGTCTTGCATGCCCTGAAAGATCCTCAATCCAAGTACAAGATGTACTTTGCGTTGTCTCTTTGTGTTGCAATACTGTTCCCTAGATCCAAAATGACAGGGAACAAGTCTGCAAGTCTGACTCAAGCTTTCCCATTAATTTTTTCAGACTTTCTGCAACTAGCAATCCAGCCAGTGACTTGCTGTGGTCCACGGTGTCATCTACTAGCATATTTTCCTTCTCTTCTTCCATAGAAGTCATAACATGTACTGATGTATCAAGTAGGGATGGGTCACGATTTTCGAATATCTGGCATTTGGTATCTGCTATTTTTGACCAAAGTGATATTACAGCGACTAAAGACTCTTTACGTTCAGATTTACGTTACGTGATTTTTAACTAAACCCCAGTCAACAGAGCCATCATGTTTTGTTTTTGTTTGTCATGTCTGCTTATTAATATAAGCAACACGTATTAAAGGGGTCATATGATGCTATTTTAAAGATCATTATTTTGTGTATTTGGTGTAACAGAATATGTTGACATGCTTTAATGTTTAATAATTATTTTTCAAATACTGTACATTATTGTAGTTCCTCTATGCCCCGCCTCTCTCAAACGCATCGTTTTCTACAAAGCCCCTCCTTCCGTCAAGCGCAGTCTGCTCTGATTGGCCAGCTGACCCAGTGCATTGTGATTGGCCGAACACCACAAGCACGCGTTGGAAATGTAACGCCCCTTTCCATAATCGCGAGGTTCAGCTTTCAACATAAATGTAAAGACAGTAAATAATGTCCTTAATTTTACCATCAGTTCAAGCCCGAAAGGGGAACAGAGTCCCGTGACAGACAGTGATGATGCTCGTATGTATTTGCAGTACACAAGCCGCGATTAAGAAAGCTGACTCTACTGTGATGTGACTCTGTCTCTCTCTCACGCACACACACACACACGACGCGATACTCTACATGGCGCAAAACTCTGCATTTGAACAGTCAATAGCAAATACTTAAACTATTAAGAAAACATACTTACAGTAGTTGATTCAGAATAAGGGCCAGATTGTCATAGCAAAGTCGGAATTCAACTATTTTTTTTTAGAAATAGACTTTGCACAGTCAGCCTTGTAGGCTACTCTCCTAGGTTCATAAAACTGTTGTCCATAAAATGCGTTGCACAGATTCGAACATCTGGGTTGTGCTGTTCTGTTGTAAATAAATCTTAACCAATGATTCCTCATTGCAACTACTTTTGGAAGGCCAAATAAAGAGCTTTTGCTTTCGCACAGAAACACACAGCGTCTCCCTGACATGGCTGCATCAACACTACTGCGGTTCCTGAAACCACGCCTTCTTTCTTTGCATGAACATTTTGGTGGCATTACACAAACATTTCCACATCGTGACGTAGAAATGTGGGGGCGTGTTTGAATGAGGCGTTTTAGACCGGTCTGGATCAGCCTTCTCTTTTAGATAGAATAAATCCTTTTGTGGGAGACTTTGAGCTTTGTAACTCTGCAGATCGTATACATGCATAAATAGCTACATAACACACTAAAGAAAAGGAACAAAATAAATTGCATCATATGACCGCTTTAAGCGTCTTTGGGCTTGTTTTGGCTTATAAAGCAATCCAGCTTATGGAGGTATAGGCAAGTGCAGGTAGATATATTTTGGTATGTGGCTTAATTCCTAGATGGAGCATTTGTATTTTTTATGGGCTCTTTCTTATTTGCTTACCTAGTTCCATGTGATTTCTTGTGCCATGCGTACAGAGGAGCAGCACAACTGATTTGATTTTAAATATGTCATTAACAACTAGTTAATGATATATTCCCCTACAACAACGTTGTACAATGTTGACAGTGTAAAACATGCTGCTTAACAAGCATAGTATAATGCATTGTTGTAGAAACTAACTGTCACATTGGTCACTGAACATGGTCACATTTCCGTGGTTTGAACCATGTTGGTTCAATAATATAGGATAGTTGTTAAAGGGATAGTTCACCCAAAAATGAATATTCTGTCATTAATTTCTCACCTTCATGTCGTTCCAAGCCCGTAAGACCTTCGTTCATCTTCGGTACAGGTATTAAGATATTTTTGATGAAATCTGAGCGCTTTCTTACCCTGCATAGACAGCAACGCATCTGGAACGTTTATGGCCCAGAAAGGTAGTGAGGACATTGTTAAAATAGTCCATGTGACATCAGTGGTTCGACCCTAGTGTTATGAAGCTACAAGAAAAAAAAATTTGTGTGCAAAGAAAGCAAAAATAACGACTTTATTCAACAATTTCTTCTCTTCCGTGTCAGTCTCTGCTGCCATTCATGAGAGTACCACGACGTACCATCTTTCTTAGTTCATCGTCTGCATATTCTGGTTCAAATAAGTAAGGCTGGGAAAATTTTTTTTTATGGAAGACTGTTTTATGTATAGCTTGCATCTTCTTTTGCTTGTAAACAAAGCGCAGCGCATCCGAAAATTTTGTGTGCAAAGAAAGCAAAAATAACGACTTTATTCAACAATTTCTTCTCTTCCGTGTCAGTCTCTGCTGCCATTCATGAGAGTACCACGACGTACCATCTTTCTTAGTTCATCGTCTGCATATTCTGGTTCAAATAAGTAAGGCTGGGAAAAATTTTTTTATGGAAGACTGTTTTATGTATAGCTTGCATCTTCTTTTGCTTGTAAACAAAGCGCAGCGCATCCGGGTTCTACTTCAGCAGCACCACACGCATGCATCGTAGTACTCTCGTGAATGTATTATTGTAGATTAAAAAAGTATTCTTGTAGCTTCATGACATTACGGTTGAACCTCTGATGTCACATGGACTATTTTAACAATGTCCTTAATACCTTTTTGGGTCTTGAACTTGACAGTTGCATTGCTGTCTATGGAGGGTCAGAAAGCTCTCAGATTTCATCAAAAAAATCTTAATTTGTGTTCCAAAGATGAATGAAGGTCTTACGGGTTTGGAACGACATGAGGGTGAGTAATTAATGACAGAATTTTTATTTTTGGGTTAACTATTCCTTTAATGATGACATGCGAAATAACTACTAATTTATTAATTCAAGATATCCAATATGATGCTGTAATGAACATTGCAGCTGGTGACTACTTCACTATTTTTGTTCTTTTCCATTTTGCTTTATTTTAGGTTTTATTCATCACAGTTTTCTCTTACGTCATAGTTGCCCATTTATTCATTTGCACACTCTTCAAAAACGGCCCTTATTAACTACATTCTAAAATATATAGATTCAAATATATGTATTTAAATGCATCATATTTAAAATATATAGATTGTACTGTATGTTAGCTTGCTTATTGTGCATAATTTGTTTAAGACCACATGCCATACTACCAACCACACAGGTTTGCAATGCTGTTTGTGAATATTTGTTTCAAATATGGGTTTGTGAAACACTGAATCGTTGATCTATGATGGTAACGGCGGAACTTAAAGGGTTAGTTCACCCAAAAATGAAAATTAGCCTCTAGTGTGTATGTGCCCATTGTGCTCAAATGGCATCTTTCATTAACTCTGCTGAAGTCCAGAACCAAAGTATCTAAATATTGTGATGAGCGAGGCCTGTTTGGGGTTATTGAATTTGCATTACTGAGATATGCTTCTCCTCAAAGATCAGCCAGATAGACAGAGGACGATCAATCTAATGTGCCATTAGAGGAATGAAGCAAGAGTGGTGGGTCTCCTGGGTGGTGGATGGTGGAGATATTGACAGGCTGATAGAGCAGAGCTGAACTGGAATGACATCAGACAGTGGGAAGAAACGGATAGAGTAAGTGGGACAGATTGAGAGAGGCACAGAGCAATAAAAGAGGAGAGGAAAAAGAGAAATCCATTGATTCTTTATTAGCAACCTGCAGAGAGGTGAAGCAGAAGGACGAACTACACACTGCAAATATGATAGACTTTTGAAACCCAGTCTAGTTGTCCAACTAAATAGTGATTATTAGCAGGCTAATGTTGTGTTATTGAGGCAATGCAGGTGTGTTGTGTAAGTGCTGGTTTAGTGCTTGTAAATTACAACACGGTTGAGGTCATGGGAATAGGTAATTATCAAAAAAATTTTGAATTTTGTCCTTCAGTTACCTATAAGGGGGTTTGTGAAACACTGAATCGTTGATCTATGATGGTAACGGCGGAACTTAAAGGGTTAGTTCACCCAAAAATGAAAATTAGCCTCTAGTGTGTATGTGCCCATTGTGCTCAAATGGCATCTTTCATTAACTCTGCTGAAGTCCAGAACCAAAGTATCTAAATATTGTGATGAGCGAGGCCTGTTTGGGGTTATTGAATTTGCATTACTGAGATATGCTTCTCCTCAAAGATCAGCCAGATAGACAGAGGACGATCAATCTAATGTGCCATTAGAGGAATGAAGCAAGAGTGGTGGGTCTCCTGGGTGGTGGATGGTGGAGATATTGACAGGCTGATAGAGCAGAGCTGAACTGGAATGACATCAGACAGTGGGAAGAAACGGATAGAGTAAGTGGGACAGATTGAGAGAGGCACAGAGCAATAAAAGAGGAGAGGAAAAAGAGAAATCCATTGATTCTTTATTAGCAACCTGCAGAGAGGTGAAGCAGAAGGACGAACTACACACTGCAAATATGATAGACTTTTGAAACCCAGTCTAGTTGTCCAACTAAATAGTGATTATTAGCAGGCTAATGTTGTGTTATTGAGGCAATGCAGGTGTGTTGTGTAAGTGCTGGTTTAGTGCTTGTAAATTACAACACGGTTGAGGTCATGGGAATAGGAGGAACGGAAAAGAGGCCAAGCAGGAAAATGAGACACAGATGAATATGAGAGATATATGAGGATGCTATACTGGGAATCATTTAAAAGATGAAGCATGTGGGATGCAGAGAGACGGCGAGTAATAGAAGAGGAAAGGGATGATAGAATGAGAGTGATGCTGGAAGAAACGAGAGGGGATGTGGGGGTTGGAGATGCACAGAGGTTCAGGATTGGCAGACCCCTCTGGTGGTCCTGTTGCTAGGAAACACTGTGTGACTTGTTGCCAGGCAACAGCAACGAATCTTAGATACTGCAGCAGCAGCTGGGAGTGGGCGAGCGGGGGTGGGGGAGGAGGTTTTTATGGCAACCTGCCATACTTAAAATGGAAGAACGAGCAAGGTGTGGAAGGGGAGAGGAATGGAGAGGTAGAAACATCACAGGAAAAAATAAAGACCGGAGGCCTGAAAGGACCAGAAATAGCACAAAAAGTAGCACATATGCATCTTTACACGTGAATGCATAATAGATCAAGTATTTGTCTTTAAATGCACACATTTATCTAGCTGCACTGATATAGCAATACAATACGTAATGCTGCTCTATATTGTTGCTGTCAGGCATAAACCTCAAATGTCCAAACCGCTACTTACCATGAAATGGGGGGTTGGGGGGGGGGACATAAAGGGTGACCAATAGCATTGATTTATGGAGAAAAAAAAAGAAGATTAAATCAAATGATTAATGATATTTAATATTATTTAAAAGGAAAAGTAATAATTTTAGACATTTGGATACTAAGGCTAAACCACAGAACAGCATTATCTAATGACCATAATACCCTCTTTGGGCACAATTAAAGCAAAGAAAATCATCAAACTAAAATCTATCACAATCTTGACTGAATATCAAGACACAGCATATATGCCCCCCCCCCCCAAACCAATTAAAAACAACAACAAAATCAAATTCAGAGTGTCAATGTGACAAATATCCTGTTATCATACTAAAAAGAGCTTTATTAAATTAATAAAATTATTAAAAAGAAAAGCAAAACTATTTTGTCATAATCTTTTATTTTATTTCTTTGGGGAATTTTTTATTATTTTTTTATTTTTTAAGAAAACTGCTTCACTGCTCATTAACAGTTGAAAAACATTTGCAGAATCAAAGTCATGTGGTGCAACCAACAAATGGAAATATGAAGAAACACATTTTTAGTACTTTTTTGTGTTTATTTTTCACTCTTCAAGTTCTTGAAAATTGTAGGCTGCTTTTTCAAAACTATATGAAAACAAAATTAATACAAATAGTACATTTTTAAGAATGAGTAAAAACGAATTCAACAAAGTGAGAAATGCAATGCAAGTCAGTGAATAAAATTAATTTGGCATACATTCTGAGTTTCAGAGTGATACAACTATCCTGAGAAAAAAGAAAAGAAAAGAAAAGATTAAATAATAAGTAAACTGCTTTACTCTTTATTAATAGTTGAAAAACGTTGGCAGAATTGAAGTCATGTGGTGAAACCAACAAGCAGAAAGATTCAGGGACAAAAATATAATAATTTTTTTCTTTTATTTTTAGAGACATTCAATTGAAAGTTCTTGAAAATGGTAAAAAAAAATTAACCATATGAAAAAATGAAAACAAAAGTATAGTAATTTATTGAAAAATGCATTTAAAAAATGCACTTCAATCATACAAACACCTTCTGTGCTGAACATGTTTTTAATTTCTAGAATAAAATGGATTTGGAATAAACCCAGAGTGTCAATGTGACAAATATCCTGTTATCATACTAAAAAGAGCTTTATTAAATTAATAAAATTATTAAAAAGAAAAGCAAAACTATTTTGTCATAATCTTTTATTTTATTTCTTTGGGGAATTTTTTATTATTTTTTTATTTTTTAAGAAAACTGCTTCACTGCTCATTAACAGTTGAAAAACATTTGCAGAATCAAAGTCATGTGGTGCAACCAACAAATGGAAATATGAAGAAACACATTTTTAGTACTTTTTTTGTGTTTATTTTTCACTCTTCAAGTTCTTGAAAATTGTAGGCTGCTTTTTCAAAACTATATGAAAACAAAATTAATACAAAGAGTACATTTTTAAGAATTAGTAAAAACGAATTCAACAAAGTGAGAAATGCAATGCAAGTCAGTTATTATATTATATTATATTATATTATATTATATTATATTATATTATATTATATTATCTTATATTATATTATATTATATTATATTATATTATATTATATTATATTATATTATATTATATTATATTATATTATATTATACATGTGCCAAGAAATAAAGTGTTTTTAATAAAAGTTTAAATGCAGAGACTTATGTTGTGTAACCATGAAGTTAAAAGCAATAACATTCATTCATTCATTCATTTATTTACGTCATTAATTATTAATAATAAATATATTATTATTCGTTTTTGGGGAGTCACACCATATTACATTTTACAACTGCAATTAACCCTGCCAAACATTTTCATTTCAAGACTTTCGTTCTTTAATACGATTTCATTTGGTTTGTTATAATATCAGGACAAGTTTCACTCTGACGTTTCTGTCTCCCCAAAAATATAAAAGATTAATTAATCTACTATAAATTTAGGGCTTGTATTTTTGGTTTTAAACTTGACTTTTGATCCATTAGGCAACACAATATCTTGGTTTATATGAGGAAAGTAATGATGACAGTCTAATCATTGTAATTTTTCTCACTCAGATGGGGAGGGAGAGGGACAGCTGTCCCCTCCTGTTGGAGCTGGAATCAACAGTAACAGCTGGAGCTTCCGCTACGGTGCAGGCCCCGGCTATGGTCCACCACAAGCCCTGAAGCCGGGAGAGATCCCCCCTGAAGCCTTCATTATTCCCGGTTCTCCTGCTATCATCTCCATCCGGCAGGACCCAGGTGCCGTTGATGATAAGGGCGAGTTCATCACCTTCGGAAAGAAAGAGGAGTCTAAGAAGAAGAAAAAGAAGAAGAAGGAAAAGAAGGACAAGAAAGATAAAGGAAAAGATGATGGCGAGGAGTAGCAAAGAACGTCCCACTACAATATTACAGCTATTAACTTATGTTTGTAGCAAATTCTGCCAGAAAGAGAAAACCAAAAATACTGAAAATGTAAAGAGAGAAGTTCCTTCTATATACCTTATTTACCAATTCCAGTTGAAGAAAGAAGAGAAATTGAAAATTAACCTTGTGAACCTGTTACTCTGATTGGCTGTTTTTCTAGTTCTGGCGCAGAAATTAAACAGCGATGTCCAAGAAAGAACTCCAGTCTGCAAAATGCAAACCAAGCCCACTCGCTCCTTGTAAATTACATTTTCAACCACAATGAGGGAAGTCCCTCTCCTCTTTTAAAAGGATCAAATGAATCCAGTTAAACTGGATATGAACTCATGCCATACCAAGTGTTTTCTCTAACTCCATCCCTGCCTTCCTCCCTCAATGTCAAATGGGGAAGAAACAACCACCCCTGGCCCCATCTCACTCCTTGATCTGCTGGAAACAAAAAGACACTACAACTTTATCAGAAAGTCCAGTGTCTGATTTCTAGAGCAGATCAAAAATAAATGCCTACAGAGATGGGAATGTAGCAGCGAAATCACTTGCTTTACACTCACAAAAATACATCCTAGAACAGGGCACAGAGATCTCTAGCGCTTCTGTCCTGCTCCCAAAGTCATGCTGAAATCTCAGAATGATGCTTTACTCAGTATATTTTCTAAGAGCAATTAAATCTCATCTTATACAGTCCACACCCATGATTTGTATGAATACAAATCACAAATTGATGTGTGTTCTTGCTCTCTAATGCATAACACACTATGAACAGGCTGTCCACATGCTGTACACCTAAAATCACCACAGGACTGAAGCACAACAGCCTCTCAAAAGTCTGTAACACAGCAGAATGAATACTTGTGGCTTCATTTCAAAACACACCCACTTCCGTTGCTGCTGTTTTTAATGTTTGATAGATGTCATCCCACTTCCTGACAGCTTTATGTCTTAGTCCAGCTACTTGTCCTTAGCTACTGCTTGTAACTTTCGCATATCTGATATTGCCAACCTCCCTTTATCTGGTGAGCATTGCTGGCCCCATGTCAGTACTGCCCCCTGGTGGCTCGTATTGTACAATGTGACAAGAAAGAGCAGAAAATCAAGTTAATATTATTGTCACTTCTGCTGGAAACATGAGCACAGGTACTGGCCACTACATGCACACATACACTCAAGACACACCCGTGTTTATGCTCTCACAGCAGTTGAACCACCATGGACTATGCAGCCATAATTATGGACATGTTTAACTACAGCATATGGTGCTTTCTAGGGCAAAAATAGAAGTTGAGTGGAGATTAGACTGAGAAGACCACAGTGGTGGGCAGTACAGAGTTTTTCTACTGTATATAATCAATGATGAGATATAGCTTCATGACAGTTCCATAGTTGTTGATTACAATTTTGTAAATAATGGGAATGTTTTCTTAACATTCAGACATCATGCTTAAATTTTCAGTTTTTAAGAGGGAGCGCATCTCTCCTTTCTTTCCCTTCTAAGTCTGTAGAGATACTGTTTAGTAAAGGAGAGATGTTCGTGCTGTTATGAGACCGTATCATCACAAAGCACACACAAACAGATGCATATACACACACACTTTCACTTGAGTCTCTTTCAGATGTGGTTCAGTGCTGTCAGATCACCAAGTGACTGTTTTGCATGTTAAACGCAATTAAAACAGAAATTATATATAGATATAAATGAACAGATGTTTTTCATAATTATTTTTTTTCTCATTTATGATGAAACTGGAGATGAGTATCGTCTCTGCTGAAGTATGTAGACATTAATCAAATTATTCATTCACAAACATACACTGATTACATACATGCATAGAGCGTAAAAAGAAGACACCGAAACGATGTCGGCTCTGTGGCAATCAACGTTAACATTAACACACTAGCTATATGTAATGCTGTAGTGTTTTTGGTCTAAATTGGTTTTCTTTACAACCTTATGATTTTTGCAACTTGAAAGGATAAATCCTTCGTTTTGTGCTAGGCTTTGAAATAAATAACACTGTAGTGTGAGCCAGTTCATATTTCCCTATGATATAAACCTCTCCTTTCAAAAAAATAAAAAATTAAAAAATTATAAAAAATGATAAAACAGGAAATAAAAAGGTCTATGTATTCTGCTTGTGTGTAGTAATTATATATCAATTCATCCAGTGCCTAAGTGGCACTATGCTTTTGACTTTGACTGCAAATCTGTTGGACATTTTTTGTACACCTGCTCATCAGTGTAATGGTGTTTATTATTTTATATTACTTTATGAAATCTGGTAATGTGTTTTGTTTATAAATCACAAATAAAGTTTTCTTTCATAAGTATTGGAGATTTATCTGTGGTTTATATTTTGCCTGTCTATATTGTTAGTAAAGTAGTGAAGTAGTCTATATTAAATATTTGTTCATCTTCTGGTCTAAAAATAACATTGTCCCACATGCATTTTATCTTAAACATTGAATGTGCTAACCTAACACTTTTTACCAGCTGGATATTTGTCATTAAACTGGTTCCCAGCTTACAGTGGCAGTGCATGTGGTAACATGACTGAGCATTCTATTGCAAGATTATCAGTGACTATTCAAAGAAGGCGGACCTGAACGTTTCACCTGCACAAATCATAAATCTTCTGAAACAAACCAATGTTATTGTTCTCCAAGGAATGAAATACAAGGATTAAATGAAGTTCGCGTGTTTGGGTCAGAAATTATTTGAAGTAATGCAAAATGCAAATTTGAATGGCTAAACTTGAATTTGAATTTAATTTAATTAGAATTGTATTGCCATTTGCACAGATACATTGTAGTACAGGTACATTGGAATTCTTGTTTGTTTCGCAGAGTCAAGCTTTATACGGAGGGGGGAAAATCAAATAAATAATATTGCACATTGTGGTAGTGTTTCACATTTAAGGGAATAAGAGGAGACACACATATCTGTCCATGGGTCCATAGACAGGCGAGATAGAAAGTACTAGTTCTCCAAAGTAAGAGAGAGTTATGGGATGGGATACTTCTTTCCCTCCCTGATGTCCTGTGCCACTAACATAAAAGTGGCTGGGAAGAAGCTCTTGTACAAACGGGCCCTGTGAGTACTAATATTCACAGGCCTGCTGTGCCTCAGGTTGTAGCCCATATCCACCCATTTAAACAGATCATAAGCTGGGTGATGTTTATCCTTGAGGATGCTCTGTGCTTTCTGTCTGCAGCGTTGAGTATATATAGAGTCCATAGAAGGGAGGTTAGAGCCAATAACACTCTCTGCAGATTGTATGACCTGTTGCGGTGATTTCCTCGCAGCCAGGGTAGTATTGCCTTACCACACTATAATACCACTGGTAAGAATACTCTCGACGAGGCCTCAATAGACACAGATGAGGGGCTGACATCTAAGTCTGGCCTTCTTCAGCAGTCTGATGAAATACAGTCTCTGCTGAGCTCTTTTCACTGTTGTGTACTGTTTCACAGAGTATAATAATATGTGCATTGAAACTGCCATCTTTCGGGGCGCATTTGATTTTTATGCAATATTCTGACGTAATATTTACGTTTGGTGCACACACACACAAAGGTGAGGCATTGAACTTGGAAAATTTATATTAAAATGTACATTAGATGTAGGCTGCTGACTGTAACACAGGATACCAGATGTGTGCAGTTCAAGTTCAATACAGTAGAAATAGGTTTCTTTTCCATTTTATCAGTTAGCAAATGTAGTGCAGTTATTCTTTTATTATTATTTCTATTGTAGGCTTAATTGGTACTCTCTCGCTCTCTCTATCTCTCTCTCTCTCTTTCTTAACTATGCATACTCTATTTTCTTAAAACATTTCATTTATAATTTCAATTTCAGTACACTGAATATGGAATACCTTTCCAAATCAAATTTCATTCAACGGACATTTTAGCCTGTATCTGAAGTTGGGCTTTCTATTTCAGCTGCCTTGTTCCACGACTATACGGAGGCGCTGTCCATGGTGCTGAAAATATGCGCCAGTTTGTGGCGTGCGTAGCTGGCATGAACTACATCTATACATGCGCTAAAAAATTATTATAAACAAATGACTCTTTATCCATATAAATGCTCACAAACAGTTTGAATTAAAACAAAGACTATAATATCATATTAGTAGAGATTATACGGAAATACTTTGTGTTTAGGGGTTTGTATTAACCAGGTCTTCTTTTTAGGAAAGCATACTATTTCAGGGTTATCTGTGACATACCAGCTAAGAATATAATTGTGGATTTAAAACTGCATTACAAAAAAAAAAAACCTCTGTAATTATGGGGCATCTGCTCACCATGAATTAAACCTCACAGACTAAACCTAAACTCAATTCAACCACACAGCGTCGCTGTTGACTAACTGTTTTAGGGCATAAGAAGAACACACCCATTGGTGCGGGTATCTTTCTGTTCTGTTAACATTTGTCCGAAAGAGCAGTGCGGACGACGACGTCATAAATCGATTGTTTGTGAAAAGCGTTTCGAAACAACGCTTTACTTTATTACACCAAGAAAATATGGCGAAAATGTCTAAACTGCGTTTGCCCAAATGGCGATTATGGATAACAACGCTTCTCTTTTGCATGGCATCTGCTGATGTTCGTTATTCTGTGCCGGAGGAAACAAAGACAAAATATTTTATTGGAAGTCTAAGTAAGGACCTTAATTTGGATTCCGATCGCTTGAGGTTTCACAAAGCCCGTTTGGATTACCGAAGGTATAAAAGATATTGTGAAGTAGACCTAGATTCTGGAAATATTTTTGTTTCAGAAAGGATCGACCGAGAGATGCTGTGCGGAACGACCTCCCCCTGCCTCATGCACTTTGAATTTATTCTTGAAAATCCTTTAGAGCTTCATAACGTTGTATTGGAGGTCCAGGATATCAATGACAATCCTCCTGTTTTCCCCAAAGATTCAATTAAGCTAGAAATAAGCGAAGCAGCACCTACCAGAAGTAAATTACAAATAGCTTGTGCACGCGATTTGGATGTTGGAATGAATTCAGTCCAGACCTACATGCTTAGTCAAAACAAATATTTTTAGACAAAATCAAATAAAGACAGGTATGTGGACATTGTTTTGAAAAGCAGCCTGGATAGAGAGACAAAAGGAGAAAATTCCTTAATATTGTCTGCGGTGGATGGGGGAAATCCTCCTAAATCTGGAACTGTTGTTATTGAAGTGTTCGTGATAGACGTGAATGATAATGCACCAGTATTTTCGCAGCCTTTGTACAACACTCGTTTATTCGAAAATGCAGCACTCGGAACGTCTGTCATCAAAATTGTTGCGACCGATGTGGATGAGGGCGCAAATGGACAAATAACATATTATATCAATCACCTATCTTACAACACAAAATAATTGTTTAAAATTGACGAAAATTATGGAGAAATATCTGTAATTGGACAGATGGACCACGAGAAGTCCTCGTCGTACGAGATGGAAGTGCAGGCGGAGGACGGTGGAGGTCAGACTGGCCACTGTAAAGTTGTTATTGAAATAGATGACATAAACGATAACGCACCTGTTATATCAGTAAAGTCTCTGAAAAACCAAATCCCAGAAAACATCCCACCCGGTTCAGAGATCGCTGTAATAAACGTGAAGGACCAAGATTCCGGTGAAAACAGCCGGGTTAGTTGTTCCATTTCTTCAAGTCTGCCATTTCAACTACAGCCGTACATCAAGTCTTATTTCATTATCACTACAACTCGTTCGCTTGATCGGGAGCAAATCGAAAATGATAATGTAACAATAACAGCAACGGATGGAGGTACACCCCCCTTATTCTCGAATCTAACTCTGAACATACAAGTTTCAGACATCAACGACAACTCCCCTACATTTGAGTTACAGACATATGCTGTTTATATAAGTGAAAATAACAAACCAGACACTTCTGTTTATTCTGTCAGTGCAAAAAGTCAGTGGGGTCCCAGTGTCCTCATTTCTATCTATTAATGGAGATACAGGGGTGATTCATGCTGTAAGATTATTTGACTATGAGTAGTTCAGAAACTTCACTGTCAAAGCTGTTGCCAGAGACAATGGATCTCCACCGCTCAGCAGTAACGTTACTGTGAAAGTCTTCATAACAGATGAGAATGATAACTCTCCACAGATATTATACCCTGTTCCTGATGGAAAGTCTTTAATGACTGAAATGGTCCCTAAAGCGACTCTGTCAGGCTCTCTGGTGTCCAAGGTGATCGCTGTAGATGCTGACTCTGGACAGAATGCATGGCTGTCCTATCAGATTGTCAAATCTACTGATCCTGGACTTTTCTCCATTGGTCTCCATAGTGGAGAGATCAAAACACAACGAGACATTTCTGAATCTGACAATATGAAGCAGAACCTCTTTATTTCAGTGAAAGAAAATGGGCAGCCCTCTCTGTCTACAACCTGTGCTATAAATTTACTAATTTCTGACAACCTTTCTGAAGTTCCTGAACTTAAAGATATGACTTATAAGGACAACGACTCTAAATTAACGTCCTACTTGATCATTGCATTAGTTTCTTTGTCCACCTTCTTCCTGACGTTCATCATACTGATCGTGGCAGTGAAGTTTTGTCACAGGAGAAAGCCCAGACTGTTGCTTGATGAAGCAGTTGCGGTTCCCAGCACCTATCTACCTCCCAACTATGCAGAGGTGGATGAAGCAGGAACTCTCCGCAGCTCTTACAATTATGATACGTATCTAACCACAGGCTCGCGCACCAGTGATTTTAAGTTTGTGAGCTCATATAATGAAAACACACTTCCTGCATGTGGGACTCTGATAAGGAGTGACATCGATTCTAATATTTTGCGCCTGTCTGACGAATGAGAGTGTACAGAGGTAAATATGTTTTAATCCTTAAATATTGCCTGTCTGTATTGTGACTCGGAAACACAGCTTTAAAAAAAAACGATGACGATGATGCCCTTAAGTCCTTAAAATGCGTTTGAACTGATTATGTTTTGTCGTCCTTTGATATTTTAATAGAAATTATTTCTTCTTCCAAATTCTAGAATGCATTCCATTTGATTTCCACTACTGCTGGTGTGAGGAAAACCGTTACTAGTTGTATCTTCTTGTAACAAAATAAATCAAAGTCTGCTCCTGTGCCTTGTGTTATTCAAATTTTACATGATCATTTTCAACATCCTGAAAGAGTTATAGACTACGGTGCCTTTAGAAATTTGCCTTTAAAAATTAAATAAGTGCACTGACGAGTGTAACATTTTGCCTGTATATTTTTTCACACTACGCAGTGTGTCGCTGTTGATCTGTGCTGGTATTTGTTCATCGGTCCACCCATTTGCTTTGCATTCTATTTTCAGGTCACACTTCTCATGTTCATACCACTGCTGTTTGTGTCTGAGGACAATATATATCTTAGTAATAGGCCTATGAAATTGTCTTTAAGAATCTCCTTCACGTTTACTTAGAATGGAATGCACTGCAGCATATGCGTCGCGGCGATCGGTGTGGAAAGCCATTGTCCTTTATTCGTTCGCCGTTTCATTATGCTTGGGAGATATTCGTTATTCCTTTCCAGAAGAAATGAAGCGAGGGTCAGTGGTCGGCAAACTTGCGCAGGATTTAGGAGTCGATAGGAATACATTTTCATCACGGGAGCCAAGGATTGAGTTTGATGGAAAAAAACGCTACTGTGAAATCAACGCGCAGAATGGGGCATTGGTTATAAATGAAAGGATTGACCGAGAAGAGCTCTGCGGACAAAAGCCTTTGTGCACATTATCTTTTGATCTCTTCATGGAAAACCCGCTTGAACTACACCGTATAACTCTGGAGATTCAAGACATAAACGACAACAACCCGGCCTTCCCCCACAGTGAGGTAAAATTAGATATCCCAGAGTCCGCAGATAAAGGGTCTCGGTTTTCCATAGACGAGGCTGCGGACCCGGACAGCGGAATACATTCAGTACAAGGTTACAGACTCTCAAATAACCCGCATTTCAGTTTAGCTGTACAGACTAGTGCTGAAACTGGGAAATATGCAGAAATAGTGTTGGAACATGAACTGGACCGTGAAAAACAAGACAAGCATTCTCTTATTTTGACAGCTTATGACGGGGGCAATCCTCAGAAATCAGGCACTGTAGTTATACAAATCCGCGTTTTGGATATTAATGATAATAAACCAGTTTTTTCTCAGCCAGTCTATAAGGTGAGTGTCCCTGAAAACCTTCTGGTAGACTCAGTTGTGGTTACCGTGAGTGCCAGTGATGCTGATGAAGGAGCAAACGGAGATGTTACTTATGAATTTAGTCATATGCCAGTGAATGCAAAACCCATTTTTTCAATAGACCCAGCATCGGGTGATATAACAATTAAAGGGTCATTAGACTTTGAAGACAGTCCTTCGTTTGAGATTCGAGTTAAAGCAAAAGACGGAGCTGGTCTAGCAGCCACTTCTAAAGTAGTGGTAGACATCAGTGATGTCAATGATAATGCTCCCTTTATCGTGATTAAATCTCTTAAAACGCCGCGGTAGTGACGTCATGGCTGTCGCCGGCCAACGAGTTGGTGTTTTTTCAATGTATGCTTCAGACACGGGTCACGACGAGGCGTTCCCCATAGCGACCCCTAGAGGACGCAGTTCGAAGTTCCCATGAAAGGGAACCCATTTTTTCAATAGACCCAGCATCGGGTGATATAACAATTAAAGGGTCATTAGACTTTGAAGACAGTCCTTCGTTTGAGATTCGAGTTAAAGCAAAAGACGGAGCTGGTCTAGCAGCCACTTCTAAAGTAGTGGTAGACATCAGTGATGTCAATGATAATGCTCCCTTTATCGTGATTAAATCTCTTAAAACGCCGCTTATGGAGGATGCGACTGTGGGTACAGAAGTTGCCGTTATATACGTGCAGGACAAAGATACAGAATCTAATGGAAATATTAAATGTTTTATTCAGCATAACGATCGCTTTAAACTAACACCATCAATTAAGAACCACTTTGCATTAGTAACAGCGGAAGCGTTGGACCGAGAGAGAGAATCTGAATATAATATCACGATTACAGCTACTGACGAGGGTTCCCCGCCTTTAACATCATCTAAAACTATTAGATTATTTGTCGGAGACGTGAATGACAATCCTCCTGCATTTGAACAGCAGTCCTACAGTGCTTATATAAGTGAAAATAACAAACCAAGCACTTCTGTTTGTTCTGTCAGTGCAAAAGACCCAGACTGGAGACAGAACGGGACTGTACTGTACTCTCTGGTTCCCAGTGAAGTTAGTGGGGTCCCAGTGTCCTCATTTCTATCTATTAATGGAGATACAGGGGTGATTCATGCTGTAAGATCATTTGACTATGAGCAGTTCAGAAACTTCACTGTCAAAGCTGTTGCCAGAGACAATGGATCTCCACCGCTCAGCAGTAACGTTACTGTGAAAGTCTTCATAACAGATGAGAATGATAACTCTCCACAGATATTATACCCTGTGCCTGATGGAAAGTCTTTAATGACAGAAATGGTTCCTAAAGCGACTCTGTCAGGCTCTCTGGTGTCCAAGGTGATCGCTGTAGATGCTGACTCTGGACAGAATGCATGGCTGTCCTATCAGATTGTCAAATCTACGGATCCTGGACTTTTCTCCATTGGTCTCCATAGTGGAGAGATCAAAACACAACGAGACATTTCTGAATCTGACAATATGAAGCAGAACCTTGTTATCCTGCATGTGGGACTCTGATAAGGAGTGACATCGATTCTAATATTTTGCGCCTGTCTGACGAATGAGAGTGTACAGAGGTAAATATGTTTTAATCCTTAAATATTGCCTGTCTGTATTGTGACTCGGAAACACAGCTTTAAAAAAAAACGATGACGATGATGCCCTTAAGTCCTTAAAATGCGTTTGAACTGATTATGTTTTGTCGTCCTTTGATATTTTAATAGAAATTATTTCTTCTTCCAAATTCTAGAATGCATTCCATTTGATTTCCACTACTGCTGGTGTGAGGAAAACCGTTACTAGTTGTATCTTCTTGTAACAAAATAAATCAAAGTCTGCTCCTGTGCCTTGTGTTATTCAAATTTTACATGATCATTTTCAACATCCTGAAAGAGTTATAGACTACGGTGCCTTTAGAAATTTGCCTTTAAAAATTAAATAAGTGCACTGACGAGTGTAACATTTTGCCTGTATATTTTTTCACACTACGCAGTGTGTCGCTGTTGATCTGTGCTGGTATTTGTTCATCGGTCCACCCATTTGCTTTGCATTCTATTTTCAGGTCACACTTCTCATGTTCATACCACTGCTGTTTGTGTCTGAGGACAATATATATCTTAGTAATAGGCCTATGAAATTGTCTTTAAGAATCTCCTTCACGTTTACTTAGAATGGAATGCACTGCAGCATATGCGTCGCGGCGATCGGTGTGGAAAGCCATTGTCCTTTATTCGTTCGCCGTTTCATTATGCTTGGGAGATATTCGTTATTCCTTTCCAGAAGAAATGAAGCGAGGGTCAGTGGTCGGCAAACTTGCGCAGGATTTAGGAGTCGATAGGAATACATTTTCATCACGGGAGCCAAGGATTGAGTTTGATGGAAAAAAACGCTACTGTGAAATCAACGCGCAGAATGGGGCATTGGTTATAAATGAAAGGATTGACCGAGAAGAGCTCTGCGGACAAAAACCTTTGTGCACATTATCTTTTGATCTCTTCATGGAAAACCCGCTTGAACTACACCGTATAACTCTGGAGATTCAAGACATAAACGACAACAACCCGGCCTTCCCCCACAGTGAGGTAAAATTAGATATCCCAGAGTCCGCAGATAAAGGGTCTCGGTTTTCCATAGACGAGGCTGCGGACCCGGACAGCGGAATACATTCAGTACAAGGTTACAGACTCTCAAATAACCCGCATTTCAGTTTAGCTGTACAGACTAGTGCTGAAACTGGGAAATATGCAGAAATAGTGTTGGAACATGAACTGGACCGTGAAAAACAAGACAAGCATTCTCTTATTTTGACAGCTTATGACGGGGGCAATCCTCAGAAATCAGGCACTGTAGTTATACAAATCCGCGTTTTGGATATTAATGATAATAAACCAGTTTTTTCTCAGCCAGTCTATAAGGTGAGTGTCCCTGAAAACCTTCTGGTAGACTCAGTTGTGGTTACCGTGAGTGCCAGTGATGCTGATGAAGGAGCAAACGGAGATGTTACTTATGAATTTAGTCATATGCCAGTGAATGCAAAACCCATTTTTTCAATAGACCCAGCATCGGGTGATATAACAATTAAAGGGTCATTAGACTTTGAAGACAGTCCTTCGTTTGAGATTCGAGTTAAAGCAAAAGACGGAGCTGGTCTAGCAGCCACTTCTAAAGTAGTGGTAGACATCAGTGATGTCAATGATAATGCTCCCTTTATCGTGATTAAATCTCTTAAAACGCCGCTTATGGAGGATGCGACTGTGGGTACAGAAGTTGCCGTTATATACGTGCAGGACAAAGATACAGAATCTAATGGAAAGTTTTATTCTTTTATTCAGCATAACGATCGCTTTAAACTAACACCATCAATTAAGAACCACTTTGCATTAGTAACAGCGGGACCGAGAGCACCTCCTTGACAATTAATTTACTTATCTCAGATGTGAATGACAATCCTCCTGTATTTGAACAGCAGTCCTACAGTGCTTATATAAGTGAAAATAACAAACCAGGCACTTCTGTTTGTTCTGTCAGTGCAAATGACCCAGACTGGAGACAGAACGGGACTGTACTCTACTCTCTGGTTCCCAGTGAAGTTAGTGGGGTCCCAGTGTCCTCATTTCTATCTATTAATGGAGATACAGGGGTGATTCATGCTGTAAGATCATTTGACTATGAGCAGTTCAGAAACTTCACTGTCAAAGCTGTTGCCAGAGACAATGGATCTCCACCGCTCAGCAGTAACGTTACTGTGAAAGCTTTATTACCGATTAGAATG